GGATTTATAACAACTAAGGAACGGCTTCTTCAATATCCATTAAGTTTTTCAACCGCGATAAGTGCTGATGGTGACAGTCTTATAAACAAGACTTGCGACATGTGAGTCTAAATGGCATTCACGCAACAGGTGGACCTACTAAAGGAAGACATGTCGCAGGATATGTACCATTAGAGGAAATTCTTGGAAAGTTTGAATTAAAGCTTATTTCGAGTGGTAGTTCTAGTAATACTACCGTAAACTGCCGTATAAAAGATCCCCCCAGGCATCAGACCCCCTATGTATTATACCCGGGTCTATAGTATGGGATAAAATTTTGGTAAAATATAAAAGACCCGGTATACAAATAGAAATAAAATATTAGAAGACCCGGGTATACAAATTGGGATAAATCTTAAAAGACCCGGGTATGATACTGGGATAAAATATAGTATAGATGACACCTACCTTAAATCAATTAATTACTTATTAAGGCGTCGCCTATACTATATTTTATCCATAGCATTTTATGATCGAGAAACACTTCTTCATTAACCAGAACTATTGAGTATTTATACATTTTAGATAAGATCCTCAAAACGTTACTACATCAGCCCCACAAAGCTAAAACTCAAACAAGCTATACCGGGAACGGTTTTACAGAAGTAAAGTGAAGGGAGAGTTTATAGTTTTGGTCTTTCTATGGTTGGTTAGTATGATTTATAGATCTTTTTCTTTCTATTTTATAGGATTGCTTAGGGTTCTATTTTATAGGATTGCTTAGGGTTCTATTTCGATAGTAAAATGTAATTTGTATGCATCATATATACGCTTATTTAGAGTTCAAGATTAGCTTTTTTTTATTATTAAACTTAACATTAGCAATCGATTTGTGGTTTTATTAATAAGATACTATATTAGATTGCTTTTGGTATACGTAATACTAAAGTTCTATAAGCTCTTGTGAAAAGTCGGATATTTCCCAAATATTATTAGATTCTATGAGTCACGAAAGATAAGCATGCAATTTAGAATTTTGAGAGTGTAGTATTAAATTATCATATTTAACGAAAGCATTTATCTAATGCAAGTAATTAGATAGCATCGGGATATTAAAATGTAGTTTTACAATATGTTAATAGTGGAATTGTGAGTGCATCTGAAATAAATTTACAAGTTTACAATAAATGGATAAGATTGAGTTACTCTATATTGTTTGGACTTAAAATTTATTGTGCAATAAATTGCCCCACGATTATTTAATACCAACATTATTCCTAACAGCTTATTTAAACTGCCAGTTACTCATTATATTTGTTCACCATGCTATAAATTGAACTCTGTTATTATTTTTGACTGTGTTTGCCTACATATTAAAGGTTCATTTTCATTGGTTATGTTGATTACATTTCTATGATTTGAGCGGATGAGAGGGTGTTTTTTTTTAATCCCACATAAAAACATATTCAGTTATTTGATCCTCATAATACGAATCATCGTGACTTTCTTGGTCGTCTGAATTAGCTAAATTATTTAAATAATTTAATATTTTCTAATCTTTTTTTTTAAAAAAAAAGTTTTTTACCCTACCTTCGTTCTAGCTATCTTTATTCTCATTCTCCTCCCAAATATAATAATTTTCATTTTCATTCCCATCACTGTTATTATCTTCACCATCATATTCGCTCCTACTTTTATCACTTCTATCTTTACCATTCTATTCATTTCTACTTTCTCCACTTTCATACAAGCTATTATTATCATCACCATTATTATCTTGAGTCAAATCAACAACATATTCATTGTTGCTTGAATTATCCACATTAACATATACATTTTCACCTCCTTGATTTCGACATTCTGGATTAGCAACCCAATTATAATTAAACATTATATCCTCTTCAGATCCATTCTGAGCTATAGATATACCACAGCACTTGAACGACCATTGGATAAGGGTGGAGTCAATATGGTCCCATGCTGCTTTAATCTATTTGGCTACCAGATTATAGGCGGGTTGTTGAATACGACCTGAGGGCATCAACTTTTTAATTTCTTCTTCCATCTAATTAAGATAGTGCTTACAATACTTAAAATCAAAAAAAAAGAGATTGTCACAACTAATATCAAATTTAGCTAAAGTTAAAACTAATAAAGTTTTAGCTTTAGCTAAATTTTACTATTAGCCGTGATAATCATTATATAATTATTAAATAATACTATATACGTATATACATATTTGTATTATTTAAATAACTAATATTATTTTATCTCCTCTTTAAAGAATTTATTGATATATACGTCTAATGGTTGTAATTTTTTGGTAAGACCACCTGGAATAACCGCAATGTTAGTATTTTTTTCCTTGAATCAATTTTTAACTGGGTCTGTAAGATGATCATAAAATTCATCCAAAATGAGTAATGAACAAGGATCAACAGATAAAGGAGCTCAATATTTCCAGACATGTTCAATCCATAAAATCATTTCATTAGCATTTATATATCCTTCTGTATTAGCTTGTACAATAATACCTGATAGAAATATTTTTCGTGGTATATTTACTAACTTAAAAATCATCATAGGGGGCAATTTAGTACCATCAGCTAAACAACTTAAAACAACAGTAAAATTGAATTTTTCATATCCAGTTGTATGAATTCCAACTGTATGAGCACCAGTTTCTTCAATCGTATAGTTACTAGGCATATCAAATACCAATAGTGTCTCATCCATATTTTCAATAAGAGAAAGTGGATATTTATAAAGCATTTGATGATATAACACATTACTCAAAAAAGCATCTCTTAAAGGTTTTAGATCCTCTGACAGTTTTTGTGCTACTGTAGTACAACATCTATTACTTAGCTTATTTCTGTACATAAAACCTTCTAACTATCTATCATTCCACTTACAGTTATTGATTGAAGGGTAATTTGAAATAAAATGGGGTTGTCTTGCAAGTTGTTGTGCTTTGGTCTCAACCATATTTCGGAATACAAGCTTTTGTTTTGAGCATAAAGATTTAATCCAAGCTAAGAGATCAACTTCTAAAAGTGAATATTTAGAATGAGCACCAATGGTTAACCATTTAATAGCAGGTGAAGCACTTTTAAATTCAATTTTTTTTGATCTATTCACGCAACTGCTTTGGTGTTATATTAAATTTTTGAGCAGTATTACAGTCATACCTGGGTTATATCACCCCTTTTATCCAGGGCATTTTTGGGGATATAACTAAGATAGGGATATATCTTAAGTATTACGCTTTGGTCACGTGACTATCGACCAATTAAATTTCAATATTTTAAAAATTAAATATATATTTAACAATCATAACTTTTGATCCAGTGATCAGATTTGGATGAATTTACCATCAAAATGATCGTCTTGAAGAGACGATTTCAATGAGCCCAAAATTGTTCAAATCTGATCACTAGATCTCGAGATCGTTAAGGTTTTTTTACTATAAGTAATTAAAATTTAGTATATAAATTATATCTAAAATAATAAAAAACTTTAACGATCTCAGGATCCAGTGATCAGATCTAGACGATTTTGGACTCATTGAAATCGTCTCTTCGAGACGATCATTTTGGTGGTAAAATCATCCAAATCCGTTCACTGGATCAAAAGTTATTAGTCATTAAATATTTATTAATTATGGTAATAATTTATTTTTATGTAATTAATTCAGCCAATAGTATTGCTTGTATAACAATAATATGGGATATATCTTAGGTATATTATATATTATTTATATACTTTTGGCTATAGCCTTTGTTGGGGATAGAGATATAACTAAAAATTACTATAAAATGAGATATAAATCAAGTAAAATTAATATAGGAAATTTATTCTGCTAAAAATTGGGGATATAACTCAGGTTGGGATATAACACAGTGGAGATATAACCCAGGTATGACTGTATTAATATTCACAAATAATTAATAAAATCTTTATTCGAATATATTTATGAACATAGTACGTATACGTATCGATATTTGAATATATGATATAATTTGTGCGACCATTAATACAGAAATGGAAAAATGGTCTGGTAAAATTATAGGCCTCTAAATAAAAATATTTTTTATAAATAGAGTACAGTGGGCTCTCATACTCTTCCAACATTTGAGACAATAAGTTTTTTCCAATAAAATTATAAGACTGAGATGATTTTGTTACATTATTATTATTATTATTTTTTTTTTGGCACAACCGTTTACATATATAATTGGCGACAAGTTAGATGATAATGAATAATATTAAAATTTTAAACCACTAGAGCTATTATTATGAACGTTCTTTGAATATTTTTTTAAACAGAGGTGATCCCAGCGTAGCTTGCAACCACTTGATGATTTTTGATGATTTCTTCAGGAATATCGATAACTTTTTTCTTTTTGTTCATATAGTCACGAAACTTCTGTATTTCATATTTATATTTTTTCTAGGGTTGTCAACAAATGTTACAGTATTTTAGTTTTTGTAAAAATTGAAAAATTCTAAGAATTGCATACCGTGAATGCGAATACTTTAACAATGTTGTCGATGAATTGTCCACAGGTTTGAAATGACTTGGGAAGCTCAATTTGTCCAACATCAATCATAACGTAGAGCCCCGGTGCAATTAAAATCATTATGAATATGCCCATTTCGTATGACTAGCTTATACTTGAATTGAATATTCATTCTTGCCAATGATCCTTGCCTCAAGTATTATATTTTAAACCAAAAAAAAAGCGGCATTTTTATTTTTTTAGCTTTTTTAACTGTTTTGTAATATATATTATCAAATTTAACGAGTTATAATCCACAAAACGATGGATAATGGTTACTTAACACCAAATCATGGTATTAACACACAGTCTGAAAGTGAGCTTTCATCAACGTCAGTCGTCGGCTCAACAGATAAAACTGCCGCACAACAAATTACGATACATTCGACTGGTGGATTCTTACTTTTCTTTAGACAATTATGGATTATGATTCGGAGAAATTTTATATTACAAGTTAGTAAAGACTTTATTATTTTCTTAATTATCTATAACAATGTAATAAAAATTTTAAAAAATTTCTTTATAGAAACGATATTATAAATCGACACTCTCTCAAATTTTAATCGGCCCAATAATATTTTTGCTACTTTTATACATTTTACAACAAGCTGACAATAGTCAATTATTAAAGTCAAATCTACATCCAACGGCTTATCCCCTGCTTGGAGTTCAATCTTGTCAAGTAATCATTAATTTTTTAATTAAAGATTTCAAAGCAAATTAAATGGATAAATTATAACATTCTCAATTAATAGGGACGAACAGCATCTGACCCATGTATCAATTTGATGTATACACCAAATGACCAAACATCACGTACGATAATGCAAGCTTTTGCAGATAACAATTTCAAACGGACTGGATACAAATTAAACATTGAGACTCCAATCACTAGCCTTGACTTTATACCAACTTCCAAGCTTGGAATTGTTCCTGTTACTAATGCTGACTTCATTTACAATTACACTTTAAATCATCCAAATGTAACAATGTTTGGTATTGAGTTCAGTACTGTTCAAGGCCCTCCTGTGAATTATAGATATCAGATTTGGTTTAACAGCACTCTTATGGCAAATAGTTCTGATGTGTTTGGTGAACAAGTACTTTCTTTACAACGTGGAATTGATGAAGCTATCGGTATACATTTTTATATTTTTTATATTATTAATGTCTTTATTCTTTTCATTCATTATATATTTGCATTTTCCCTAAATAGTTACTTTCGCTAGTAACGATCTTCAAAATCCAGCGACGTTTAACATTAAACTTAAGGATTGGCCTAAAGTTCCTCCTTCTCAACTTAGTGATCAAATCGTAACATCTTTTGGTGCTGTATTTTTCTTTTGTGCTGAAATGATCATTTTCATTTCTGTTCTAAACACAATTGTTACTGAAAAAGAACAAAAGTTAGTAGATAGTTTGGTGATGATGGGTTTGAAAATTGAAGTTTATTGGTTAAGCTATTTCATTTCTAATGCTTGGTTAGTGGTCATTTGTTCGTTGATAACCTGCACTTTTGGGCTTGCTTTTCAATTTTTTGTCTTTAAAAATGCAAACTTTGCTGTTCTATTCATTACATTTATTCTTTTTGGTCTTGCTATGGTCTCTTTTGCATTCTTTATCACTACATTTTGTCGTCGTGCTCGTGTTGCTGTACTTGTTGGTATATTCATATTTATTATTGGTCTTATTTTCCAATCTTTTGTATTCTCTAATTCATTTGTGGGTTACATTTGGTGGAGTCAATCTGTTGATAAAATAGGCTGGATTATTCTTATGTTCTTACCATTTTTCAATTTTGGAAAACTTTATTTGGATTTATCTATGTTGACTTCTGGAAAACTTGATCGATTAACTCAAACTGTTGTCCCTGGACCAGGATTTTCCTGGAATGATCTTTATAATACGATTCCGGATACTTATCTTCCAACTTATAGTGATTCTAATATCAGACCTTCTGTACCTCCTCCAATTCAAAGTTGGTATTTCTTGTTGATGAATATAGGTTTTTATTGTATTCTTACATGGTATATGGACAAAATCATTCCTGACGAATTTGGAAATTATAAGAATCCATTTTTCTTTTTGACACCTGGTTATTACGGAATTAAATTCAAAAAATCGCTTGATTTGCAAGCATGGATAAATCGTGCACAGAAAGCTAGCATTGGTAAACATACTGAAGAAGAAGATGAGGACGTCGCTCGTGAACGTATTCTAGCGTTTGATTCAACTCATGAATGTGTTGTTAGAATTTGCAATCTCAGCAAAATTTATCGAAAACATTTATTGGTTAAAAGTGTATTTGATAAGATTGCTGTTAATGATTTATGCTTGACTTTGAAAGAAGGAAAATGTCTTGCTTTATTAGGACAGAATGGTGCAGGTAAAAGTACATCAATGAACATCCTATCCGGGCTAACTCCTGCAACAAATGGTGACGCATTGTTATACGGATATAGCGTTCGAGGTGATATGAGCAAAATTCGTAAAATCATGGGCGTGTGCCCTCAACATGATATACTTTTTAACGATCTGACGGCAAAAGAACATATTGAACTTTATGCAGGTATTAAAAATATACCTTCCGCTGAAATTGCGAAATTAGTCGAGGAACGGTTGGCTGCTGTACGTCTCACTAAGGTTGCTGATAAACCGGCCGGTTCTTATAGTGGTGGTATGAAACGTCGCCTTAGTATGGTAATTTCTACTATTGGTGATCCTAAAATCATTTTTATGGATGAACCTACGACCGGAATGGATCCAGTTAATAGACGTCATGTATGGAGTTTTATTGAAAAGTTTAAACAAGGCAGGATTATTATTTTAACAACTCATTCTATGGAAGAAGCAGATGTACTAGGTGATCGAATTTGTGTGATGGCCCATGGTCGTTTATGTGCTCTTGGAAATTCTATGCGCATTAAAAATAAATTTGGTGCCGGTTATCGTGTGTCTCTTGTCACTCACCCCAATGATTCACAACGTCTTAAGGAATTGGTTGAAGTTCAAGTACCTGATGCTAAATTGGAAGATGATTCAGCTGGTTCTCTTATCTATGAACTTCCTTTATCTGCCTTACCAGCTTTACCATCATTCATTCAATGGTTGGAAGAAAATGAGGAGATGAGCAATAGCGAACCAGGAAAGAAACTTGTTAAAGCTTGGGGCGTAAGTCAAAAGAGCTTAGAAGAAGCCTTTTTAAGATTGTGAGTATCCCTTGATTTAGAAGCTTTGTCTTTTATTTACGGAAATTCTTACAGATCTATTTATTACAGAATTCGTGATGCTAATTCCGACGGCAATAACGGTTTAAGACTTCGTACTACTAAAAATAAAAGTAACAATCTATCTTAGTGCTACTGGTATTCTTTGGGAAGATAGATTTTTAAACGATTATAGACTTTAAAAAGGACAAATTTATAAGAATAGTGAATAGTTAGCAAGAATTCTGTTTGGATAAACTTAAAAAAAAATGTTTTTAAAAAAATTCTTTTTATTAGTTATTTAATTATTTCATTTTAAAAACCATAATGCAATGATATTTGTCAGGATTACTTCTACAAATTTTGTTATACATTTTTCTATATTATACAGTATCTCTAATATCAAAATTTCTATTGTAAAATAAATTTGTTAGACAGTACTTTTCAATAAAATAAACGTCCGTAATCCGTTTATATCTAGTATCTAAATTGCAAGACTAATATAATGAAAAAAAATAATTGTATTTAAAACTTGAAACTTGAATAATTAAAATTGAGGTGAGATAATTTAATCTTACAAACGAATTTATATATGGTGCGAATTCGTCAAATTTTTATAAGTAGTGCTGAAAATTTTGCTGATCATTACTTATAAAATTGAATTTAATTGGTTAAATTTTTGTTTTTTTATATTAGTGCTGAAATTTTAAAGTTATATTTTTTAAAAATTAGAATATCTCTAATAAAAGTTTAAAAGGGCTTCAAACTAAATACATAGTTTAATAGATCTTATAAAAAGCTACTTAAATATATAGTTTTTTTGTAACTAAACTTTTAGATAAAAAGTTTTTGCAATTTTAAGTTTATAATAAAATATTTGTTGCGACTAAGCTGTCGCACCATAGTTATTTACCGTATTTTCGCATGCGCGTTATTTTGTGAAAATATGTAAATATAACTAATGTGGGGTGAGTCAGTAGAAATCAAGCAAATTGTTTTTATTGAATTTTTTTAAAACTTTAATCACTAGTAACTTAATCAAATTTAATAAAAAAAAAATTTAAATAAATTTTATAAATGTGTAGAATTTATTTAAAAAAATTTTTTATTAAATTTAATTGTTTTTTTTTGAGTTATTGTCATTTAAATAAAGTTTTAAAAAAATTTAGAAAAAATTTGCTTTGTTTTTTACTGACTCAACCTCATGTGTCTTATTAAACCAGTGCCAATGACAGTGATAGTGTAGGCCACTAATAATTTGCTATTGTAAATAGTAAAAACACCTAAAATTCAAATGGTAATATTTCTTAAAAGTAAATACGCACAAGCAAAATGTTATTAGAATTCTTTTAATGCGCTCTTGAAGTAACAAGGATCATATGTATATATGTACAAGATAAAAATTAGTTAAAAAATAAAAAAAAAAAAGGATGGTAAAGAACAAATTAAGAGGAATCTAATGAATATAGTTTTATTTATGTATATTCAATGGTTCAAATAAACAACTAAATTTATTTTATTATTATAATCGCTAATTAAAAAGAAAAGTTTTTGTAATTAGAACGATAAGTGAAGATACCTCTGTAGATCAGGATTGTCAAATGACCTAAATGACCTAATGACTAGGTTAGTCAGCGTGGCAGCATAACCAATTATCACTATGATAGGCTAATTTTATAAAATCATTGGAAGTCAAACTTGAGAGTATCATTAGAACATTTACTGTTAACCAATTTCATTAGAGGACTTGAGATCCCATTAGACACCAAAATCGATAATACTACACCAGTCATTTGAAACCAAATTTATTCAAATCAACTTTATCAACTTTATTTAAACCTAAATTATACCGCCATATCAATTCACTTTAAATCAATTTAAATGTGAATT